ATGATAAAAGATATTATTTATTATTTATTGAAAACATCTTTTATCTAAATCAAATAAGCATCTATAAGAATAGAGCTCTTTTATTATAGATAGTTGACTTCAGTGAAAATGATTATATATATATATATATATTTTGATCTTTATATTTTTATAATATTTATAAACTTTATTTTTAATAAAATTCTTATTAGTATTTAACAAAGAATTTAAATTTTTTTCTAGTCTTTATATAAGTATTTCTATTTATTTGTTCTGTTTTTTTTATATATTTTATCATTATTTATATTATATTTATATTATTTTTATTTATATTTATTTTATCTTTTTGATCAATTTCTTCTTTAAATTTAAAGATAAATATATTATATTTATCTCTATTTATGTTATTACTTACAAGATATTCAATGATTCTGCAGCTAATATTCATGAAAATATCTGTTTATCTTTTTTTAATTCAATCTGTTTCTTATAATTAAAGTTTTTAAAATAGTCATTTTGTGTTAAATTTTTACTGCACTTCAGTGATGTAGTTTATACAAAATATTATATATCTCAGATAAAAGAAGAAGCAAAAATAAAGTGTAGAAGTAATATGCATAAAACTTTTCAAAAAAAAAAAAAAAAAAAAAAGAACAAGCTATCTAAGTCATAATCTATGAGACATCTAAAGTGATTGTATTTGATAGCTATCTCAGAGTTACTATATACTACTGTGCAGTGCACTAGTGTGTGTGTGTGTGTTTTTATTTAATGCCCAGTTAGTCCACATGTCTTAAGAACATGTGATCTAGTAGAGTCCATGTCAAACTATAGAGTGGATAGAGCTACATCTGTAGGTGACTACCTATCTAGTAGCTATCTTACAAATGAGGCAAAATAAGTTGTGTCTTGCTGCACTGGCAGAGCCCATGAGTCAGTTGTCATAGAGCAGAGATTTTGAGAGGTTTTAGATTTGTGAGAGAGAGGTAGAGAAGACAGATATGAAGGAAGACAAAGAAAGAAAAGAAAGAAGAGAAAAGAGAGAAAGAAAGGAGAAGATGATGAGAAAGATGAGGGCAAGACAGAGAAGAGAATGATCTGTGAAATCTGATCTGAAGATGCTTGACAGCACATTGGACAGATATTCTGATAGAAGACTGTTTCTCTTAGTCAGTTATTGAATTCTAGAATCTCATGTGAGGTTGCCAGTGTCTCATGAAGATTGTAGATAGGCTGATGTCACTTTGCTGCTTTTCTTGCAAGAGTGCAATAGTAGAAATGTTCTGAGGTTTTGCTATGTCTTCACTGGCAGTAGCACTCTGCATCTTCATGCTTAAGGTGACTGTGATAGACTGCAAAGTCTTCATGATCTGATCAGACAGCATAGAGCTTTTCTAATGTGAAGTGTGAAAGTTTTACCTCTGTTGAGGCACTCTTTAGTGAGATCTTCAGCTTCATATAGTGTTTGAACTGATTTTTGGTCCAGTAGTTCTCAAAGACCTGTGTGATTTGTTTCATAGTGTGCTGCTTTATATAAGCTAGAGTGTCTATGCTGTCAGATTGAGATATCATGCTTGCACTTGCTGCCTGTGCTGCAGCTGCTTTGACTTCAAGATCTGCCTTTTCATTACCAGTCATGTCTGTGTGGTCTGAGACTCATCTAATGATTACTCTGCTCTGAGTGATCAATGAGAGTCTATCTCTGCTCTGTCAGACCTTTATGACTTTCAGAAACTGCATGAAGACCTGCTGGCTAGAGGTGTTTGACACAGATTCAAGAACTCATGCTATCTTCAAATTGTCTAGGCAAATGTAGATGTTGCTGACAAACTTCATCTGAGATGAGGTGATGACTTTTTTTAGACTCTGCAGGGCTGTCATTGCCTCTGCATCAAAGATCTCTGCTTTATTCATTGACAGATTTTCTGTGAAGATTAGATGATGTTCACTATCTCAGCATATAGCTCATTCTGCATCAGTCACATGCTGAGGATGCTCTATCTGTGAATCATTGGTAAAGATCATCAGATTCAGAGAATTGTGCTGTTGTAGTCAGCTCTTAAAGTCTTGTGCTGCCTGTTTCTTTGTGTGATCTGTCTCATACTCAATCTGCAGATCTTCTTTTCTGAGAAATCTCATTCAAAAGAGTGTGAGTAGAGAGTCATATGCTTCTATCCCACCAGCATGACTGAACACTTTAGACAGATGTGTGATATAGAGCTTGATGATAGCTACTTTATTAGAGTGTCTCACTAGTGAGTGTCTCTTGTCAAGCTTTTTGATTCTTACTGCAAATACAGCACATCAGTTGTCTAGTGTCTCTTTCATTGACATGATTTCTAGCTCACAGTGTAGAGCTGAAATGAGTGTGATCTTGTAGACTGACAGTGCTCCTCACAAAGCATCTCTAAGAGCTAGATCTAGCTTTCTGACTAGACAATTCATTCAATTGAAGATTTTCTTTTCTTTCTTCATTCATGTGACTTCAGGCCACCAGGCCTCTGCTCCATAGCAGAGCACAGAGAGCACACAGATCTGAATGAATTGTCTAAGCAGTTGTACTGAGACATCTCTTGCTGTGTTGCTTAGTGCTCATATGTCATTAGACATCTGTCATGCCTTAGCTGTCATAATCTTCATGTGTTTCTTGAAGCTCAGTTTTCTATCTAGTCAGATTTCTAGATATCTTATGGAGCTTTTCACTGCATTTGCTGTAATAGAATGAGTGTCAGATGTTGTTTCAAAATCAATTGAGAGGTTTGAAAGGGTTCTGCACTATGTGAAGTGTGCTATCTCAGTTTTGACAAAATCAAATGTCAGCTCTTCTTTGCTGACTCAATCATTTAGCAACTTGAAATCCTTCTGAAGAGCAACAATATTCTCTTCAAGAGTGATTTCAGCACTAAGCAGTTCTAGATCATCTGCATAGTCTGAGTGTGCACATCTTCTTTGTATAGTTTCTAGAAAGAACAGAGGCTGAATAAACAGCATGAATAGAATAGATGAGACTGGTGAGTCTTGTGAAAGCCCTGCTGAGATATCAAAGAGCTCTTTCAGAAGTTCATTCAATCTGATTCTGCCTGTGTGTTCTGTCATGAAGCTTTTCACTCATCTAATTAAATTTGATGATCAGTCTTGTTCTTGCAATCTCTGCAGCATTCTTTCTCTGAGTACAGCATCAAAAGCATTCTTGATGTTCAGAGTAAGAAGAGAGACTACTTTTCCATGAGCTCAGACTTCCTCTATATCATGAATTATCACTGCCACTAGGTCTGAAGCAGTTCACTCAGGAAGAGCTTCAAAATGCTGAGAGTGAACAATCTTCTCTTGTATAGCTGTTCAGGCCAGTCTACAGACTATCAGGCATTTCAGTCCCTTCCTCAACATTGAGAGAAGGACTATAAGTCTGTAGGATCACAGAAGTGTTGAATCTCTGTTGATCTTAGACAGCACAATCAGTGTGGCATCTTGAAAGAAGATTGAGTGTCAGTCAACTCTAAGACAGGCTCTGAACAGCCTTTTCACTGATATCTTAATATGTGATCATGCCTTTCATAGCATCTCTGTTGACACTTCATCAGTTTCTAAAGTGATATTATTCATGTTCAGCAGAGAACTTTGTATCTCATGTGCTGAGACAACAGGAAATGATAATTTGACAGATGATGAGTTGAATCAGCTAACTGAGATATTCTCTTTGCTTGCAGCCTTCTGTAAGAGCACCTGTTGCAGAAGATCTCTTTTCTCTCTAGAGATTGTTCACATTTGCCCAGTCTCTACATCTACAAGAGGGGGGGAATGAAAGAAGTCAGTTGAATGAGCTCATTTGATCATCTTAAAGATATCTTTCCTCACTGAGACCTCTGCTATCTTGTCTTGCCAGTATTCTCTCTTGACTTTTCTGGTGATTCTGACTACATTGCTTTTTACTTCTCATAAAAAACTAAAGTCTAGACACTATGCACAATGTAGTGTTGTCACTGCTTTCTGATAGTTCTCATTTCATCATGACTGACCTGTGTCTTGTTCAGTGCTCTTCTTGATGAAACTTTCCAGAAAAGCTATTAGTGTATCTGTGATATCTTTAGTCAGGGCATTCAGCTGATCTGTATTGAAGTACTCTGAGATATCACATAGTTTGTCTAGTTTTGACTTATAGATCTTCAGTATCTGGTTAATGACCTTCTTATTCATGATGTCAAGATAGAAAAAATGAGTTGATCTGTCAGACCTTGTACTCTGTGAAAGACTGATTTTGATGAGAAGAGTCTGATGATCAGAGGAAGTGTAAAGAGATCTGTTCACCTGTGTGTTCACTCCTTTGATAACTAATTCCAGAGTGGTCCAGGTCAGGTCTATCATGTTATGCCCATGTGTGGAAGTGTCTGGGTCCATGGTGAGAGTAAAGTTGAAATTCAAGATTCATTGAAGGAATGATTCTGCTCACATGCTTGAAGACACTCCTGGTTGTCACATGAAATGCTTGATATTGAGGTCATCAGCAAGAAGCAATGAAAGTGCTGAGATAGATCAGAAGAGAAGACAGTACACATCTTGTTCAGAATTCTCTGTGTCTGAAGATGCATTGTATATGTTGACTGTCTGAAGCTGTAGACCTCAGGCCTGTATGTGCAGCATGTGAATGTTTCAGTTTTCTGCTCAGAGGCCTGAGACTGCATGAGCATGAATTTGTAAGTGTTTACACACATAGATGAGGATCTGTGACTTTCTGTCTCACTTTTCAATTGAGGCAAAGCAGTTGAATGCTGGATGCTTTTTGAAGATGCATTGACTTAAATTTCTGTGAATTCAGAATTTCTGTATGAGAAGAATGTCAGTCTTTCTTTCAAACACTAGATTGAGAGCTGTCTTGTGTGCTGAACTCTCTTTTTCTACATTGACTTGCATAATCTGCAGAAATTGTGAAGATCTAAAGTTCTTCTTCATTGAGTAGCTGAAAGAAGAGTGTTGTTGTATGAGATGATGTGTTGAGTGTTGCATTAGATGTTGAATTGAGTGTCATGTCTAATGCTGTGCCTGATGCTATGCTCAATGCTGTGCTTGATGCTGTGTTTGATGTCAGTATGAGATTAGATCTACACTCAGTAGAATCATTCAATCTCAGATCTGCTGATGATTCTTGATCACTGCATTTGCTATTACTTGTCTTGATCAAATATGTCTTACTCTGTGCATTGTGAATATCTCTCAGCTGATTTCTTGAGTGTCTTTGAATAGTTTCATTCTTTATCTCTGATCTGATGAGACAGAATGAATCATTCACAGCATGTGATTCAAGACAGTTAGTGCAGTGATTGAGGCATTCACATGCTTCATTCTTCTTATGACAGAATGAATTTCCTTTCACATGATTCTTAGAACTGCATTTTTTGCAGTGAGGGACATGAAGACAGTATCTCTCTTGATAAAATTCTCAGCATTTGCTGCATTGTTGTATTTTAATCTTAGATGTCTTTCTGATCACTGGTCTTTGATATTCATATAGTTTCACTTTTGATGACAGATTTACTGCTGTCTCTTGCAAAAAGTGTAATATAAGAGTGACTGTTGAGTTTTCAGAGTGTATTTTTGTTCAGTGACTCTGAACAGACTTGATTCTAATTTGAAGTGTGAATTCTTCTGTCATGGATTCTGCTGAGAGATGCAGAGTTTCATTATCATAGTCACTAATCTTCATGAGCAGCTCAGAAATCAGACAGATGATTCAATGTTCTTTCTTCTCTATCTGAGCATTGATGAGGATGGCTGCTAAAATATTCTTTTGAGCTAGCAGAGTCTTCATGTCTTGCAAACTTCTAGAAATGATGACAATGCCTGTGAGAATGACTTGAACTGCTGTGATGACTGCTGTCAAAGACCCTGGAAGTTCAGTCTTCAGCTTTCTAAGAGTAGCAATTGAGCTTGCTTTGCAAGCTAGATGATCTGAAGACAGACATGTGAGAATTTGTGATGTTTTTTCTTCTCTGAGATTATTTCTAAGCAGGAGTTTCTGCAGTATGATTGCTGATGTTTTTGTTACATTGATGCTGTCTGCAGCTGTCTTTGCATAGATAGAAGCTCTTGCATCATTTGCATCAGTGAAGCCAGCAGACTTGATTGTGATGGACTGCTTAGCTGTTTCTAGACTTTCATTGTATCAGTCCTTGACTAATGCCTTCACAGCAGCTCCAAGGGCCAGTGTCCTTGATAGGTCTTTTGCCTTCATAACATCTAGGTCTTCTTCAATTCAATCAAGCATATTTGCAGCAGCTAGTGCTTCTGCATGGGATTTCTGTGCCTCAGCCTCATGGGCAGCTAGGAGATCACTAGCCATCAGGCCATGTAGGTTGAGGTGAATTGATGTGACATTTCTGCTCTTTGAGCTGTCTGCTGGTGTAGGGGAGCTTGGAGACTCCATGTCATTCAGTTCACATGTGCAGTGGGTGATTGGGGTGAGGAGATGAGGTCTCTTGGATGGACAGCATATGGGGGAGCAGATGCATGTCAAGGCTCAGGATGTGTTTGATGGTGTTGAGGGACTGGGTGCGCTGGCAGCACTGCGTCAGCACGCCATCAGGCTTGCTGCCTGAGGGGATGGGAGAGAGCTTATAGGGATGTGATCAGGATTGATTAAGATGATGCAAAACGGCAAGTTTTGTCGCTGAGAGTGCCGCGGTCCGCAGTGCACTAGTCCATAATAGGAAGCCTAGGCTCCAACAGTTACATATGGGCATGGTCACGTGATGGAGATTAACCTAGCCTCGGCGCCGAGCCTAACACTTGCTACATTCATTGATAAATTAATTTAATATCCTGGATAAAATAATATTTCACATTGAGGTGGCGGTTCACATTGAGGTGATGGACCCTCATATGCGAGGGTTCGACCGGAGCTTGTTGAAGAAATCAACCACTAGGGCCCGGTTAGTATTAAGTACTCCTATTATAGTAAGTTGGGGATGTCAGACACTTCTATCACGTGACCTGCCTTCCACTGTATATAGTCTTTCTCATAGCGTTGCAAACTCTGCAATCAATCAAGCTTGCCAATCTGTCATATATATCACTTGTTATTGCTTTTTCTATTTTCCTGTTCTCGTCCTTGGAGAATGACCTGGGGGAAGGGGGGACAAACTTGCGGCCGTGGGTGTTTTTCTTCCATTTTTCTATGGGGTGGGGGGAAAAAACTCCTATTTCCCAAATATTTTTTTTTTTGTGAGAACCCCCCAATTTTTGGAGGGGTTTTGCTGAAAATTCGGG